GAGGGAAGTAAGATTCTAGGTAAATTTCAGATAACATGGCGTACAAATTTGGGTGAACCTGGTCGCCTGCAAACCCAACATATACTTGGTAATGTAAGTTGAACTTTTTATATCCCTTTATAGTTCAAATCTAAAGATTACCGTAAAATGGCATCTCCAATACTGTAGCTGTCATCTCAAAAAATTGCACCATACAAGTCATTTTCTGCTTCTCCACTTCCTTTTATGTTTTTTCAATTTATATTGTACTGGTATATTACTGAAAATCAGAAGAGATCCATCTTTGCTAGAATCTTCTTTATAATTGGTGTTTTGTAGCTAGATTTTCTAATTTTTGTTATGCACCTTTTGCTTATAACTTACTAAATTAGCTTTTCATAAAATGGCTCACATGATTAATGGCCATCACACTGCAAATTCCATTGCAGCCCATTTCTCGCAAGGAGATTGAATTACATGCAGTGGAGATCCCACCTGTCATTATCTTAGAGAAATCATTTGTGGTAACAAGTACTAATGAGATCCAAATGTCAAATTACATTTATAAAATCTTCTGCAATTGAATTTGAATCTTGTGAACACAACGGACCGAGTATTGGGACCCTTTGAGGTATGGTTGTCTGAAAGTGTTTCGTTTGACGAAAGGGGTGTGATGGTCAACAAACTTCAAACAAAGGTAGGAATCTAATATTGCCCATGCAATTAACAACCAATTTCTAAATATAATTGGTTTGCAATTGGTAAGCCACATAATTAAACATGGTTTTAATTATTAATTTTTTTAGCTGGAGGTTAAGAGCTTGGTTGTATTGAATACTCGGTGCAAAAATTGATGTTTTGAGAACTTTTCGTTATGAAATATGACAAATGTTTTACCTATGTTTTTCATGCTACCTTGCAGACTCTTGGAGAGGTGCAAGCATACAACTCGTTGAATTTTCAGCTAGTAAATGTCTTTAATACTCTTTTATCTCGGACTTTGTTACAAGATAAAATGACTGAGTGGCACCGTGTCTAAATACGCAATAGATAATTGTACGTATAAACTCTGAACACATTCGTGAATTTGTAAAAAACAGAAGAAACAAAATTAATCTCAAAATAAGGCTATTTTTCCATGCAGAACTTGATTGCTGTTAAGCTTTGGATTCTGAAAATCAGCGGCATTACAGTTTTTGACACAATCGAGAAGAAAACGTACGACTCACTTCTAGAATTGGAGGTAAGATTGCTTCGCTCTTTTTCACTTTTTTTTGGGGTAAATGTGATTAACTTCACCTTTATTAACGATTTCAAAGGTAAAATACGATGAAGACAGAACAAATTGTGATTGTGAAATGATATTCTCAGAAATGCTATGGAGCCATCGATGGTTCCTTTATGCAGCCATCCATAATTTTATGTATCGACATGTGTCCAATGTGTATTTATTGCACGACACGTGTCAATGCACCAGTTGTGGATAACTATGGATGGTTCTATAAGTCGAGCCATCCGATAGCTCCATAGCAAAACCGATGATATTCTAATGAAATTGCAACTCTTAAATGCAATTAAGTTAGCATTCATTGTTTGTTTATATGTATTGATGAGCTCTCTTATTTGTTCAGATATATGTTGACTCGGAGTGAATTGAGATTTATCCACCAGATAATATAATAGTTTGTTGCGTTTTGAAGAGGCTGAAATCCAACACTCCAGACTGTATTTTGAAGTATTGTTTGGTAAAAGCTTATAATTGTTTTTTGACCCCGCAACCTTTCTTGTATTCATTTGTGGCAGTTTTCCTTTTACACCAAACTTGCTATCAATTCTAGAATTGGTTTTAATTTTTTTTAAGAAAATACATTATAATTACATGTATTATTATTTTCTTATAAATATCAATAAAAATAATAGAGACACTGCTTATAAAGTATATACTTCAAAATTTCTTATCATTATAAATATTTTCCTTATATATAATGCTTTATTTTAAATAACAATAAATTAAAAAAATAGGGAAATGCTAAAGTCCCAGAACCAATCAGTCGGGGTTTGTAACCGTTATTAGATCATCATGTAACTGTCAGATATAGTTGATCTAACGGTTATAAACCTCGACGCAATGGTTCCGTAACGGTCGCAACATCTTCCTAAAAAATAATGCCGGTCAAACCACCCGGTTCAATGGCCGGCTAATTGGTAATTGTAAACGGTCCAAATGTCTGAACCTTCCCAAAAATTTTCAACTAAAAAATATGAAGTCATATTTATGTAGAAGAGAATCTCCCACATATCCTGTATTTGACCATACAAATAATTATATATTATCCATACTCAGACATTGTAGAAGTAAAACTACGATTAGAAATAATAAAAATGTGAAAATTTTTAATTAACAAAATACCTCATTCCTTGAAATCACAACTAAATACTCCATAAAAAAAATCATATTTATCTACAAGAGAATCCCCCTAATATTCATAAGTTGACCCTGCACGTAAATAATATCCATACTTTATACTGTAGAAGACTAAAAGTAAAAGAAAATGTTACGCTCCCGTTACGGAATATTCCGTCAAAATTTGTAATCGCTAGATCTTCATGTAACGTCAGGTATAGTTGATCTACCGGTTACAAACTCCTACGAAATGATTTCGTTGCGGGACGATAGCCTTCCCAAAATAAAACTATGGTTGGTATAATAAATCGTGTAAAA